AACAGCTGAATCATCTCCTGATGATCCCCCTGCGCACACATCCTAAGTGGCGCCGTGACCTCCCTGATCAAGCCCGTACCCAACGGACGACTATCTAGGGCGTGAACGGGAAAAGGAACATCAACAGGAATGAGGGGAATCCCTAACGCTAAACAAAACTTTTTATCAATAAAATTCCCAGCTGCGCCTGAATCTACCAGCGCCTTATGCTGGGCATGAGGTGCTACCTGTGGAAAACATACAGGCATACAGAAATGGGCAACAGAGAGCTCTGGGTGAGTGGGGCGCCTACTCACCTGGAAGGAATCCCCAGTGCGGGACCTGTCGTCATCTCCCCTAGGAGGCCATCCCCAGCACCTAGCCGCGGTGTGTCCTCCCCGACCACAGTTGGTGCAGTGGATGGACCCCCTAGTCTGCCGACTCCCTCCTATCTCTAGCGCCAGCGCCCCCGAGCTCCATAGGACACGGCTCGGATGCGCTGGAGGATGGAATGGACGGACCCCCCTCAGGACGTCCGCGGGTAGCCAATAGGTTATCTAACCTGATTGACATGTCGACCAGCTGGTCGAAAGTGAGACTGGCGTCCCGACAGGCCAGCTCCCGACGGACGTCCTCTCTGAGGCTACATCGGTATAGATCGATGAGGGCCCGCTCATTCCACCCTGCATCTGCCGCTAGAGTACGGAATTCGAGTGCGAATTCCTGGGCACTCCTCCTCCCCTGCCTGAGGAAGACCAGACGCTCCCCCCCGCCGCTTTCCCCTCCGGGGGATGGTCGAACACCGCCCTAAAGCGGCGGGAGAACTCGGTGTATGTAATAGTCGTGGCGTCGATCTTCCTCCACTCCGCGTTGGCCCACTCCAACGCTTTACCGGCCAGGCAGGAGATCAGGGCGGACACGCTCTCATGCCCTGAAGGTGCCGGATGTACTGTGGCCAGGTACAGCTCTACCTGGAGCAGGAATCCCTGACACCCAGCTGCGGTCCCGTCGTAGGACCTCGGGAGAGATAGTCGGACTCCGCGAGGGTTCCGGCGCTGGACTGGGTGGGCTGGCCGATGGTGCTGGCAGGGCGGCTGGCGGTGGAGGCGGACCCCAGCCTCGGAGGGTGGTCATCACCTCCTGCAGGGCGGCCCCCCATCTGCAGGAGCTGCTCTTGCTGTTCCCGAACCTGGGTTTCCAGTCTTGAATGTGCTGCTTCGGCTCCTGCTGATTCCATACTGTAGGGTGTGTGATTCTGTCAGGTCGTGTTTGTAGGTGTGGTGTAGGAATCAAACGCAGGAAGCAGACTGAATTCCAAAAAGCTGTATTCCTGCCTAAACACAGGCAACAGGACAAAATAAGCCTGACAGCAAAATACGCACGAAGGCGAAAAGACAATGCGCACAAACAGGTGCGTCAGGATTGAAATAAGTGCACACACAAGTGCAACGAACGCTCCAGCAAACAGTGGAGAAAATAACGCTCAACCGAGCAATACACAGACTGACGGTAACAATCACACAACACAAGACAACACAACAACGAGAAACTTATAGGACACTAATTACTACAAAACAGAAACAGGTGTAGAAACAAACAGGACAAAAGCAAACGAACATGAAAACATCAATCGGTGGCAGCTAGAATTCCGGAGACGACGAACGCCGAAGCCTGCCCGAACAAGGGAGAGAGGCAGCCTCGGCCGAAACCGTGACATTGTTCAATCACCCAGACCAGCTACCTTGACTACAGATTTGCTTGTTGTTGTTGATTGCTTGGTCAGGTTACACAAAACACACACAAACTGACCAATTGTTCAAGACGTTCTCAATTACATGCCCAATCAAATACTTTTCAGCCATAGCCTATACTGTTCACTGAGCCATAATGTCCTTAATTCAATAGTGACAATACAAAGGACATTGCAAGTAGAAACTTCTGAATATATTTTGCTTGTTAACATTCTCTGTACAAAATATGAAGCCCACAAGTCCAATCACTGTGAATTTTTTCATCAGTTTCACCAAAAACCGGTTATGAATCAATTAAAATGTTATTTGTTACATGCTTCATAAAAAACAGGTGATAGATAACTAGTGAAATGTTTTACTTACGGGCCCTTTTCCAACATTTTGCAGTGAGAAAAGAAGAGAGAAATAATAGAAAAATAATAAATACACAATGACTAAGATAATTGGCATATACACGTGGGTAAAAGTACTGAGTGGATGTGCAGGGGTACGGGGTAATTGAGTTAGATATGTACATATAGGTAGGGATAAAGTGAATAGGCAACAGGATAGTATTAAAAACAGTAAACAGCAGAATAGTGATGAGTCAAATGAAGGTCAATGCGATAGTCTTGGTAGCTATTGGTTACCTATTTAACAAAACTATTTAGCAGTCTTATAGGCTTGGGGATAGAAGATGTTCAAGTTCCAGTTGGTTCCAGACTTGGTGATCTATAAGCCACGGTTTTGTTGTCTTTAAGTGAACTTTTTGAGCTGGTTTGAAAGGCTTTTCAGAAACTCCCTTATGTACCCCAATATAAGCAGGGGTCAAGGTTTTATTAAATGATCTCAGAACTGTGGCAAACCTGAGATTATGAGATTCCTTTATGTGTAGAATTTAAAACTAGACACAAACTTAAATACCTCACTCATCACACCTCACATGAGACGGTTCAAAGAACTCTCTCTAACTCTCTCTCTCCACTTTCATCCCTTTTAAAGTGAACGTTTGAATAGGGAAAATCCATTTCCTGCGTTTGTGACTTCAAAAGACTCAAAAGGGCTGCTCCTCTCTTTCTCTCTCTCTCTTTTCTTACTCTGTCGCTCCTCTCTCTCTCCAGATGATTTCTAACAACTGAGAATCCATTCATCCTGAGTGTTCACCATCCCTCTCAGGAAGGGGGGCGAATCGCTGGGCTCATGCTGCTGTGTCCCTCTTACACTGAGAGAGCCAGCATGGAATTGGAAATTTGAGGCCCTTTCCCCTTTTAGAACACGATCACACTATCTGAAGAAGGCTTAACATCTGGGGGGACGTTAAGGCAATAGCTTTCTACCAAATCAAAGTCTGTCAGACGTTTTCACACCTTTTCACATCACCAGTGGGCTAAAGTCAACGTGTGTCTGTATTCCATGCCATCTGTTTTGTAAATAAATTCAGCAATATACATTATGGGGAATCTGCAGGCCTCCATCCCCGACAAATGGGAAAATTGGCATTATCTACTCCGTTATAGCGAAGAAACTTTTAGAAAGTGGAAAGAAACCTAGAGGGGTGACG